TTTTTCAAAGTTCCTCAGAGGATTTTAATCAGTAGTCAAGAGGGAAAACCGATGGTTTCATCCTCTGCTGTCTCATTGTTGCCAACATGTGTGTAATCCCCCTTGGCAACCATCTTGGCATATGTTTGCATGCATCCGGATTCCTATTTAAGCTTGCTTTCCTTTCATCACAGTTCACTGTAGTGAGTGCACATCTCGTTTTGAGCATATTGATGATATTGTGCTTCAATTATAGAGATAGACATGGCATCGGAAATAGTCAAAATGTCCCTGAGAAAATTCATCACCTTGGGATAAATAACCTATCTAATTGGAAATGCTACATGGAGTAATAGTCTTTGAAGAGAAAGGAACTTTACAGAAGGAAGGAGTTCTAATTCTCATGAAAATTGCAGACTTTCTCTCAGGCTATTTAGTCCTGCTCGGTTCTACCAAGTGAACTGTGATTCCTAAAGTCCCTTGCTCCAAAGTCTGTTAAGTATGACTCTGATTTCAGGAATTAATTAACAACGGGGAACATCTAATCTGATTTAGCATCTGTGATTTAACATTTTTACCATTAGGCGGCAGTATAACTCAGGAAAAAATTTGGCTGGTAATTTGTATGTATAAAAAAGAATCATCTTTCCCGTGTGAAAAGTGTATAGAATTCAGTCCCAGTGTTGTTGTTTGCAGTAGTGACCATCCATAATGCCTTACTTAGTTCCCATCACAAGTCATAACAAGACCCTGGAAATTAGTCATGAAACAGACAAGAGCAGGGGTCTGCAAATTTTTTCTATAAAGGACCGGATAATAAATATTTTGCACTTTGTGGGCCATATGGTCTCTGTCCCAATTACTCAGCTCTGCCATTATAGCACGAAAACAGCCATAAACAGTACACAAATGAATGGGCCTGTCTGCATTCCGATTAAACTTTATTTACAGAAGCAGGTGGTGGGCACATTTGATTTGAGGGCTGTAGTGTGCAGACCCCTGAACCAGAGGAATGGTTTTCAAATCTGGATAATTTTCAGAAGTACCTGGGAAGCTTGTTAAAAATTTAGAGTCCTGGACCCCACATCAAATCTACTGAATCAAAATATCTGTGGATGGGCCCAGGCATCTGAATTTTTTAAAGTCCCCACGTGATTCTGAAGCAAATATCAATTTAGCAACCATTAGGCCAAAACAAAGTTCACTGCCGTTTTAGGCAACTGTAAGGTCCTCCTTGGCACAGTATAATATTTTCAGTATCTGAGTACTAACCATGGTGTAAAGATGTACGTGTAGAATTTAGGCTCAGATTACAGGTACTCTCAAAGCATCAATAGTGGTCTCACTGCTTTGTAAACGCTTGTATTAAGCCACGGGTTTGGGGGTTGTTTTGTACCACAGCATGTCCTGGCCTCTCCTGACTGATGAAGGGACATACTGAATTAGTTTGAACAGAGAAGGGGAGGAGATTGAAGAAAACGGAAAAAGGAGAAGGAAGAGTATAGAGAGAGGGGGGAATGTTGTGCAATCCCTTGCCAAAATGTCCCAAATCTTCAATAAATTTACAACGTCAAAAAAAGCTTGCTGTGATTGGATTTTTTTTTTGGCAGAAATTGGTGAAGGGGAGGAGTTTAGTGCCGAGGTGAGTACGAGGGTGAAACAAAGGCAACACACACAGAGGCAGTGGGCAGGGAAGTTGGGTAAGAGTATTTAGGTGTGGAGTGTCCATTTCTCATGAAGCGTGTTCTAAAGATAGCGTTGCCCCCGGGCTGTTTCACCTTGAACTAAGTAAATGTATGGATATATAGAAGGCCATGCTTTAGAAAGAGCTGCAATGGGTTTTGTTAAGACTGTGGTGGCAAATATGTTTACTTGTGGTCCTAAAGCATACTGCACATTTTGGACATTCATTTAACCAAAAAAAGCAGTTCTGTTTTTCTGGAGCAGAAGCAGCCTCTGGGATGCAAGAAGCCATTATTTCTTGCTTGCTGAGAAATGTCCCTTTGTTTCTCAAGTTTGGGGTTGTTTTCCCCCCACGTTTTACCCCCACTCAAATTCAGCTGTGAAGTTGAATATAACCTTAATTTCTCTTACAGCATCACCCATCCCAAATCTGGTAGTCAATGTCCACTTCAGGTTGCCTTTAGTGACTGCCACTTCTTACCCACACTCAAGACCCACATGGCAGAAAGCATGCAAGGAGCCAGATTTAATCAGCTCCCACAGAGGAGAAACGAAGTCTTATTCACTATTATATAAATTTGAGGAAAGATGTGCCTTTTCTGACTTAAGTCAGACGCCAAGGAGAGAGTTAGCTGAGATCTGTAGTTGCAAGAAAAAAACTATATTTCTTCACAAGTAATATGTGGATAAAAATGGCAAGTTTTAACTTGCAGAGTTTAAAACATAGGAGAGTTTATCTTTTAGATAAGATTTATTCATGGTTATAAAATTTTACTAATTCTTATCGTAACACTGATGGGAGTTTTATATTCGAGTTATAGCCTCAATCTATAAATGAGTTGTGTTCCAACGATTAATTTAGTAATCTGATATTTAGTATTTTGAAGCATATTTCTCAAGAAATAATGTTAGATGAAGTGATTATTGTTTCAGCACAGCACACAGAATACTGTTTATGCTGAGTGCAGAACAAAAACAATTCAATCATTCTAACATGTATTCTATAGAACCATGCTTTCAGCATATTAGCTCAGATTATCTAGAAGTATATCCATCCCTGGGTTGTGAGATCTTATGTATCATCCCTGGGTTGTGAGATCTTATGTATCACCCCTGCTCATGTCTGTGCACTTCTAGACACTGTGAAGAAAATACCTACAGAAGGAAATAATAAAGAGTAGAGCAGAAATAAATGAAATAGAGAATAGGAAAACAATAGAAAAGATTAACAAAACTGAGTTGGTTTTTTTAAAAGATAAACATAATTGACAAACATTTAGCTAGACTAAGAAAAAAAGAGAGAAAACTAAAGAGAACGTAGGGAAAAAGCTCCTTTACATTGTCTTGGCAGTGAGTTTTTTGGATATGGCACCAAAAGCACAAGCAACAAAAGCAAAAATAAGCAAGTGGGATTACATCAAATTGAAAATCTTCTGCACAGCAAAAGCAAACAAAAAACAACCAACAAGATGAAAAGGCGACCTATGGAATGGGAGAAAATACTTGCAAACCATATATCTGATAAGGGGTTAATATCCAAAATATATAAAGAACTCACACAACTCAATAGCAAAAAATCCTTAAAAAAAGAAGGAAATTCTGCCATTTGCAACAACATGGATGAACCTTGAGAACATTCTGCTGAGTGCAATAAGCCAGACACAAAGACAGAAACTGCATGATCTCACTTATATGTGGAATCTAAAAAGGTCAAATTCATAGACGCAGAGAATATAACGGTGGTTACCAGGAGTGGAGGAGGAGGGGGGAAATGGTGAGATGTTGGTCAAAAGGTACAAACTTTCAGTTATGAGATGAATAAGTTCTGAGGATCTAATGTACAGCATGGTAACTATATTTAACAATATTCTATACTTGAAATTTGCTAAGAGAGTAAATTTTAAATGTTCTCACCACACCCAAAAAAATGGTAACTATATGAGGTGATGGATGTGTTAACTAACCTTATTGTGGTAATCATTTCACAATATATATGTGTATCAAATCATCACGTACACCTTCAACTTACACAATGTTATTTGTCAATATCTCAATAGAGCTGGAAAAAATGTGATTCCGCTATGTACCCATTCAAATAAATAAAATGAAAAAGAGCGACAATTGTAAGTGTCTGCAAGGACAAGGGTTTGGAGCAACTGGAACTCTCCTACACCGTCTCAGGGAATATAAATTGTTACGAGCACTTTGGGAGACTGTTGGGTATATCTCTTAAAGCTGCATATCCCGCTTGTTCTGGTCCTAGACATAATCCTTACAGAAATGCATACATATATTCACCAAAAGACACATACAAGATTGTGAAGAGCAGTATTACTCATAACTACCCAAGTTCCCATCAACAGCAAAATGGACAACTATATGGTGGTGGTGTCACAAAGGAACACTACACAATCATGAAAATGAATACATTACATCAATAGGCAACAACATGATGACAGTTCACAAATGTTGAGGGAAAGAAGCAGACACAAAAGAGTTCATGTTTCATAATGTCATTAATAGCATGTTCCAAAGCAGGCAAAAGTAATTTATGACGATAGAGGTCAGAGCAGTGGTTTCCTTTGGCAAGAGAGAGAGACTGGGGGCTTCTAGGGTGCTGGTAGGATGCTATTCTTTGATCTAGAAGATAGTAACATGAATTATTCACTTGATAAAAATTAACTGAGATTTACACTTAAGATTTGTGTACTTTTCTGTATGTCTACTGTATTTTAATAGGTAATTTACTCTTAAAACAAAGAGAAAAGAGGACACCTATAGCCATACGTCAAAGTGGGTACATTCCATTGGTCTGAGACAGATGCTCCATCAGGGAGGGGACCTGGAGGAGGGGGCAGGGAACGAGTTGTTATATAGTTTCCATTGCTTAGATTCTAGCAAGATCTTATGCAAGTTCTTTGACTTCTTGCATTTTAGTTTCCTCATTTGAAAGTGGAGATAATAGTAGTTCACTTCATAGCAGTTGTAGACAGCCAATGAATGATCTAGAAGTGTTAGAATTCATTATATTTTGTTCCTTAGGGATCTGGACAACACACTACTTAATTTAGCTAAATTATCTTCTCTAGGGTGACCCAAAAGAAAATTTGACAAGCCTAACAGATATATTTCATTCTCTGAAGGCTGTCTTGATTGACAGTCCAAGATTCAGCCTCCTTGTGACACAGAAAACACTAGCATATCTGCATCCTTAAGCACACATCACTACTGTTCTAAAATTGGTGTCTCTTGACTGCTTTTGTGGCTGTTCCATTTTGAACCAGTCAAACCATTCCACAAAGAAGGTCTGTTAGATTCTGAAGTCAAAAAAACAGAAAATGCCGGACTTCTTTTTAGCAGCATCTGAGTTGTCTTCCATGCATCAGTTTCAGATGACAACAGACTCACAAATCAAATTGAACCAAACCAAAACAAAATCCACAAGAAATGCTGCCCTGAAAATGGAGGTAAGGGTTATTTTTCATGGTGCAGGAAACATAACCAGAATAGAATACAATTTCAGTCTTGACAAAGCATTAGTTGGTAACACAAAATTGCAGGGTGTAGCAAATAGGGAATAGTTTGCTTAATCACTTTTTATTACCTATAATTAATGTTTTCTCCACTCCTGTTGGGCTCAGGGAGTCTCCCCAAAACTGGGTCTTCAGGTTTTCTTCCAGTGTATTTGGGTTTAAAGTGGCCCCGTCCTCAGCCATGAGGTCAGCTGCTGTCTGTGTACAAGTGACATTTAAACCCACCCTCCTACCCTTGAACTTCTCCGACGGTCCATTTTTGCATTGCCTTTTGTCAAGTGTTTCTTCCACTGGACGTTCATTTGCAATTCAAATTATACCTGGTGAAAGCCCATCTTCTAATCTTTTCCAGAGAAGAGTAGCCACAGTCTTTTTTCTTACACCATTTAATCTGCAAATCAGGCAATTAAGTAAAACTTGTGACCTACCAATACGGTCTCACCACCTTAACGAAGCCACTCTATGCAAATTTACATGATTCCCAGTCACTGGGAAGTTTCCAGAGATTTGAGTCCACTGCTCTCACCTCACTCTGTACCTTCTACAGGTTAATTTTGATCTTAGGTGGTTATCCATAATTTCCCTTTAGAGTAGTTTAAAAATACCACCGAAGAAGAAACTTCAGATTCAATTAAAATCTATTCTTGCTCTTTCTCCTATATATACTATCTGTTAGGATCGTTCACTTTTTCTTTAGAGGATTTTAGATTTTTATGCTATCATTTTCATCTTTGTGCAGTTAGAGCCGTGACAATATTGCCCAGAACGTTGGTGCTGTGTTTTCCCATAGTACGTTCTCCAGGATTGGTCCTTTCCTGTTAATCGCTGAGACCTTCCAAAGCTTTGGCATACTGGAAGGAAAAAAAGGAGGCAGTGAGACCAGAGTCTGAAGCCCAGCTCCGCCATTTTCCAGAAGTCTGACTTTCAGCAAGTCACTTTACCTCTCTGCCTTTTTTCTGTTAGTCTTTTTTTTTTTCCCTTAATAGTAAAGTGGATTGGCAATATGAGCCTCATAGACCAGCTGTGAGAAGTAAATTTGGTATCCCAGTGGTGACTGAGCTTTATCTAGCGTGATCCCTGGCTTGGTCAACAGTAGCTCCTTTCTCCCTCGCCTGTCATCCCACCCCACCCCTTGCATCTGGGAACTAAAGAGAACCAATTTCCTGAAAGAGTTAAAGGGTTGAAGTTCAGACAGAAGTAGGTTCTGACATTATATGTGTCATTAATAAAAATCAACAAACATATAGTTGTCACTTGCATGTAGTTCACTTGCAGGGAAACCTTAACCATGTTAAATACCACCCAAAGACCATAAGTGGAAAAGGAGAAAAGTGATGTCCATAAAAGTCCTCACACTTGCCATGGCCAACATTCACTGGACTCACAGGAGGGGATTTCAGGTCTCCGTGAAGATCTTGTGCACTGTTATGTCGATTATTGGCTTCCAGATTTACAGCAGATTAGAAAGGACTGGACAAGGCAGGAACATTGTAGTGTTTCAGTAGTGAAAACAGCAGCTGTGGCCTGAAGTCAAGAGAGGAAGCAGCAAAACTATAACAATTGGATAGGAAAATTAAAAAAAAAAAAAAAAGTAGTAGTCTAGAATTAATAAAAAAAAAAAGTTTAGCACTCCTGTAATCCCTTTGAACATTGTAGGAAAGTGTAATAATCAATGTCCATAATGAGGATTCCTTAATTGTCAGTAAAATTATATATTATGTTGTTTTCAGTTAGTTAAGTATATTGGAAAGTGTGAAGTAGTTTTTTTTTTTTTCTAATTTCCATTTTTAAAAAAGTAGTTAATATGTTTTCTTAAAAAAGATGTCGGTGGCCCTTCATCAAGAAATTTCAGTTATCTTGAAATTCCAGTGTGTGGATCATCTGTGATGTCAGTTACTTCCGCACATGCCTCTGTGTGTGTGTGTGTGTGTGTGTGTGTGTGCGTACAAACTAATTCCCCTTAAAAGATTTTGCTGTAATATATTCACACAAAAACATCTCCTTTGAACTCTACATTGGGAGACTCAATTACTAAAAGAATAAAAATTCTTAATTCTAGTGTGGTTTCACAGAAGAGTGCTGCAATGAGATTTCAGAGATAAAACCACACCCATCAAATACTATTTCCTTGGATTATGAACAAATAGGCTTTGAGTAAATTAGATCCTTCTACACCTTAGGAAATAAAACTTCAGGCTTCCCATCATCTCCTACAAAGTAATTCTTGTCACTCTTTCCTCTACATTAAATTATCCCAAATGTTTCAGCTTATTGGAGTAAATTGGTTTCCCCAGAACTACCTATGGTTTTGAAATTACTTTTCTTTCCTTAAAAGTAATTTCTATATATTACTGAACTCTATCACAAAGTTTCTATCCTGGGTAATTTTTCTTTAGCAACTTCGTGGATTTAAATACAATACTTACAGAAGCCACACATAAATTGACAATATTTATTGTCAATATTCATGACTTAATTTTTAATTTGTTTCCTCTTATTTTTTTTATCTCAAAATAAACCAAAGATCTAGATCCAACAGTTGCTAGAGTGCTACTTCCATTTAAAAGGAAAAAAATTATATCTTGCCTTTATTTAGATTAATCAAGTATTTAAAAGTATTATTCCATCTCTCCATATTTGCTTGTTAGTTATACATTTATGTCTTAATCTTTTAGTGGTTGCTCTAAATGTTTCATCATGCATCCTTGGCTTATTGGAGTTTATTATGAATATGAAGTTCTAATACTTTTTGCGCTTCTCGTATAATGCAAGAATTTAAAAATGTGAAATTCATTTAATCTCCTTCAACTTTTATAGTCATGCATTTTATTTTTCTATGTATTTAAAATCCTATCAGACATAATTCTTTTTATATAGTCGATGTTTATTCACATTTACGCCCATTTTACTCTTTCTGTGATTCTTCATTCTTTGCTGCATTATCCTGCTTCCATCTGGGGTCACTGGAAAAATTCCCGTTAGTATTTTCTTTTGGGGAAAGTCTGCCGGTGACAAACTCTCTCTGTTTTTGTTTATCTTAAAACATTTTTATTTCACCTTCTTTTTCGAAGGATATTTTTGCTGAATATAGAATTCTAAGCTGGCAGCTTTTTCTTTCAGCATTGTGAACGTGTCATTCCATTGATTTCTAGCTTTCACTGCTATCTTTAACAGTCAACTAACTGTAAGTCTCATTGCTGAGCCCTTGAAGACAATATCCCCCCTCCCCTTGCCCCATGTGGCTGCCTTTTGATTTTCTCTTTATCTGTCATTTTCTGCAATTTGACTATGATTTTTTGCATCCTGCTTGGGATTTTAGAGTTTCTTGAGCCTAAGGCTTGATGTTTTAGTTTTATAATTTTTACAAATTCTCAGCCAGTCTCTCTGATTCAAATATTGTTTTTCCCAAATCTCTCTCTTCTTATTCTGATTCTTTAATTAGATGTATGTTTGACCTTTTCATCTTATCTTATATGTCTCTTATCTGTTTTCTGCATTTTCCCATTCTTTTGTTCTACTAAACTATCTCCAGTTTCACAAATCCTCACTTATACTGAGTTTAATCTGCCTTTAGAATCATTTATTTAATTTTTAAAAATAAAAATGTAGGAATTTTAATATTGTTAAAGTACTATTATTTAATATACCATCCATATTCAAATTTTGCCAATTATCCAAAAAAAATCCTGTATAGAATTTTTCTTCTAATCCAGTCTTCATGTCTTTTTTTTAATAGTTGACATACAATATTTTATTAGTTTCATGTTTACAACATAGTGATTTGACATTTATATGCATTACAAAATGATCACCCTGATAAGACTAGTAACCATCTGTCACCATACAAAATTATTACAATATTGTTGACTATATTCCCTATGTAGTACATTAGAATCATCTATTTAATTCTTATATTTATTCATTTAGTTATATTTGCTTATTTATACTAGAATTTTAATTTAATTCCTTCAAAAGAGTCCAGTCCTTTCATAAAATTCTCCATATTGTCATCTATTTTCTTGAACATATTAATATTCCAGAAATCTCACTAGACAAGAAGACTTTAGTAGAAAACAAATCTGCTGAAAGATGACTGCTGCCCTGGCCTATTGAATCTCATCTCTACAGGTAGGAACGATAAACACAAGACATAAAGGTTAAAAGCTGTGAGAATTACATGTGCGGTGACCCGCATTTATGATGTAAAAATGGTTATAGAATTTAAATGCTGAATAGGACTTTGATGATAATGTCAGCTATACCCCCCATAGTGCCTAGTGTCTTGCACCTAATGAGCACTCAATAAGTCTAGAAATGCATGCATTTTCTGGATGAGTAAATCAAGCCCAGAAGATGACTTGCCCAAGACACACAATACAAGCATAGCTAAGATGGAGGTCAATTCAAGAGAATGTCACACAGAATTTTCATCTCAACAAAGTATCTTCATGTCATTTTCCTTTGTTTATTAGACTTTTTATTATAAAAAATTGTAAAACTTATACAAAGTAAGTAGAATGATTTACATACACAAAGTAGATAGAATAATGATTTCACATGTATGTATCACCAAAATTCAAAATTATTTTAATTATTATTTCATTTAATTATTGTTTCATCTATTCCTCTACGTACTCTCCAACTCTCAACTTATACTTTTTTTTTTTACAAAATTTTTGAGGTAGAATTTATAAACACTGAAAAGACAGATCATAACTGTACAATGTTGGCCAGTGGATCTACTCGTGTAACTGTACTGTTAAAAACTGAATTGTGTCCCCCTAAGATTTATAATTTGAAGCCCTAGCCCCAGTGTGACTGTATTTGAAGATGGGACCTATAAGGAGGTAAAGGTTAAGTGAGGTCGTTAGGGTAAGGCCTTAATCCTATAGGACTGGTGTTCTTATAAGAAGAGCAAGAGACACCAGAAATCT